TGACTTCGGGACCTGACTACGTCTATACGACTTACTTTACTGAAGGCCCTCTCGTGAGGATCCCGAGTGAATCTCCTTGAATCTTGAGCAACCGAGTGTCTTTTCTTTCCTTCTTACTGTTTGATTTCCTTGTAAGGCTTCAGGGAGGAGAACAACTAGCACAATCCCATCATGACTAGACTGTACTTTGACTTTCTCCGTGGGACCTCAAGAGCCTACGTGATTGCGGGAGCTCTGTCGGGGTTCACACGAGACCCTGGAGGCAGAAAACTTTGAGGTAGGCTGACTCGATCTCCGTTAGGATTTTGTATACCCCTATCTATACTACCCTTCATTTGGTTTGATTGAGTTTTTGACTTTTTGTATATTCCTTGACATTAATTCATGACTTTAATTGAATCAGAGAGGAAATTTACTATGTATGATTAATTCATCTTCCTGTGGTGAAAAGTCATGATTTTTGCATGCGATGATCTGAATGGGTTTGGACATGAAGTCGTATCAACTGATCCGGAGGATTTGCTTTGGTTACTTGTGAAAGCTTGAAGCGAGTCTGGATATAATGTCGCATCAACTAATCTTGACGTTTTTTTTGTGTTTGCCTAAAAGCTTGAAATGAGTTTGAATATGATGTCGCATCGACTGATTTGTTGACGTTTGCTTGAAAGTTCAAAACGTGTATGGTGTCCCATCGACTGATCAGGACGATTTCAACAAAAAAAATTCCACGAGAAATGGAAGTGAAAAAAAATTTTCATTAAAAAAAAATTCTTCATATTTATAAATTCACATTCCAATGTTCGTCCAATTCTAAAATTTTCAATTTAATTTGATAAGTTCCTGTCTAAATGTGAATTTTCCCTTCCAACTACATCTATTTGTTCAAGATGGAATGAAAGTCTGGACGAGTTTATGAAATGTTTTAATTAAACTTTCATTCTACTACAACAAATATCTTCTAATTTATATTGGATTAACCTATTTATGACTGGAAATCCTTACTTAGAATGATAATCTAATTAAAATATTTTATGAACTCATCCAGACTGTCAATCCATCTCTAGAATGCAGTTCAAATAAGAAAGGATACCCCATTATTGGAAGGAAAGTTTTCAAGTAAGACGAAAAATTTTAAAATTGGAATGACATTTTTTAAGATGGAATGAAAATTTAAAATTTAGAATGTAATTTTACTCTAGAATGATTATTTAATTCTAGAAAATTTTTCTGTTGTTGTTAACATTTGCCTGAAAACTTGAAATGAGTCTAGATGTGATGTCGCATCGACTGATCCGGACGTTTGTTAACATTTTTTCGAAAGCTTGAAACGAGTCTGGATCGGATGTCGCATCGACTGATCCGTTTGTTCTTGTTTGTACAAAAGGTTGAATGGGTTTGGACACTATGTCGTATCGATTGATCTGGACGCTTTGCTATCATAGTCCAGTCGTTTGCTTGTTTAAAAGTCCATACGTCTTCTTGTGAAACAGTCTAGGTGAGTGCGTCAATTATTTGCATATTTTTCGATGAGAACAACTTTAGAGACGTTAACACTTATTAATTCATATATATGATATTTTTTTGAGGAAAGGGTCTGCACATATTAATGCAAAGACGAGTTTTAATCAATAAACCCTTGCTTTCTGTAGTTGATTTAAATTTTGTTCATGCATTCTGTTTTTCGTTCATCAGCTTTGTCATTTCATTTCAATAGCTTAGTCTGGTAGTGCCCAGCTTGTGCTTAAGCTATACGCAGGTAGTCGTCTATTTTTATTACTGCATTGTTTTTTTTTTTTTAACATTCATACTTTATTTTTTTCTTAATCGTTGAAGTCAGTAGAAATCTTAAAAACCTTTCTTGCTAAGGGAAGTGTTACCGAAATTTTTACTAAAACCAAAGAGTTAGCTTATTTTTACTAAGATAACATTTGATTCATAAGTTTTTTTCTTTATATTTAACTTAGTAAATATTATTCGAGTAAACTTTTAGTGGAAGTGCTGCCCAAAATTTTATTGGTTTAATATCGTTAATGAACGCTATCGTAGATAGTTGGGTATGCGATACGGAGTTGATTTCCGATAACTCCGCATGTGACATCTGCTTTGGTTTTATGACACAGGTCACCGCTGCCTGCAAGTATCTTTGAAACTTTTTGGACTTCATCATTTCTGCTATCGATTGATGGCAGGTCCGTTTGCAACTCAGCTTTTACCTACTTTTGTATGTTAAACCTAAAAACTTAACCTTGTAGGTTTGGGATTTTCCTGGAATTTTACCCCGTTTCTTTTAAAAAGGTCATTCAAAAGGGGTCAACTATCATTTTGGAAACCAAATAATAGTTGAGGGTTTTTGTGTGAGTTGAGCGGGCGTGAGTTACAGAGAAATTGTGAGGTTGACTCCATTAGTGCATAAAATGTGTTTTGACAATCTGTATGTACTGCATGTATGTATTTTTGGAGCTTGATCTTGTCTTTCATACTAAAACGGTGAATGATTGTGAATGAATGAATGAGTCGCACGGGTAAAGAGATGGTCTCCCCTAGTTCCCACACAAACCTCTCTCTTTCTTATGAGTTTAATATGCATCTATGTGTACCTCTGTTTTTTATCCATCAAGATATAGGTTGGAATTTGAAGGGCTTACTAGTTGAATTATTGGTCGGACGTTAGTTCTGAATCTAAAATTTGAGGTTTTTATCCAAGGTATTCTAGATTCTTCTCCAGCACATGAGGGCTCCCCATATATGTTGGACACTTACTCCTTGCCCATCGCCGCGCTCTGTCTAGAAGCCAGAGACGTCGTGAGGGCTGGACGACTTATCCTTTAATCGTTCTACATCGAGAAGGAGGCATCCTTCACGATATTTCATTTTCGACACTTGAGTGTTGTGTGCAGTTATGAAACCTATGAAAGGTTGCACGATTGTGGGTAACACGTGAAGCGTCCCCACGACAATCGATCGTGTGAGTACGCATGACTGAGTGTGATGACCTCCTTCACATGCACGTTCCTCTTATACATTTTCAAGTTCGTGTAGGCCATGGTTTGATGTCTGCGTGCATTTCGAGTTATGGGTTGGATTGTTTGCAAAGGGACTAGGTGTAGAAAGTCATGCTTAAAGATGATGCTTTTGAAAGAGTAAGACGCGTGATCATTTAGATGTCCTAGTCGATTGGTATAGGGCCGCGCTTGGGAGATCAGCGCCTCAAGCGTCGGTTCTCTTGCGGGGTCGATCCGGCGTGACTGCGCATGGACTGTCCAGTATTTTGGTTGTTCAAGTCGGCCGCTAACTTGTGGATTACTTGCAGATGTCATTCACATCAAAGTTAGAGTGAAAGCGAAATCATCACTAAAGCGATAACATCTTAGCTCTGCTTGGAAGTTGGGATGTCAACATTTCTTTGCTAGCAGTCAGTGTGGTATGGACTAAAAAAACTTGGCAACGCATCTCACCGAGTTAAAGGTTATGTCGGCCTAGCCATATGGCAGACGAAATGAAAATGATTTGATCAAACGGTATTCAAGCGTCGCTTTCAAGTTGCATGTTAGTCATGCTTTTATCCTTCTGTTGATAAGTGTTATTTGAAGTCAAGTCAACTCATGTTTGCTCGTCGTTGGATGACAGGTCAAGTCAACCTTTATTGATTTGATATGAACGAGTGGTATGCATGATTGTATTATGTATGAATTGATTTCAAAAGATAAGTCAACTTACGTTGACCTGAGTCTTCTTTATTTGAAAGTGTTTTGTCTGAGTAACTCTTGACTGTGTTTGAAAGAAGGGACTAGGATTGATTGAGATTTCCTTATGCTTAGGTCATCACGTCCTAGTCGACCGACGTCGGTCCGATTCCTTGGAGATCAGCGCCCCAGGGACGGACGGCGCTCGGGTCCGTTTTGGCGTTTAACCGCTCGCACCTATGCTACGGCGAACGAGCAAATGCCCTCGACCGGCCTACCTCTGCAATTGCATCATAAAAGCCTTCCCACGTGGGCTGGTAGCTCGGCGGGATACGCCCCTAAGGGTGGTGACAGCCCCGTAGGGAAGGTAAGGTGTGCCCCGTGAGAACCTATCCTGTCGTAGGGGACCGCGGGATGTACAGGTGGCGCACTCGACGGGAGCGGCGAAGGGTCTACGGGGGTTACCGTGTCGTCCCGGAGTTGTCTCTAAAAGGTCGAAAGCCTAAGAGCGGTCGGGAGGGCCCTCGCTCGCGCGGGGGTCGATGTGCCGCTCGACACCGTCGACCTCATCAATTCCATCATCAACAGATCCTCTTCACCCATGGTGACAGTAGATGGATGAAAGTTGAAATATAGCCACAGGTCCCTGGCCTTTATATATATCAACAAGCCCTAGCCCCTAGCCCCAGGTTGGTAGGCAAACTGTGCAATCATGACTAGCTCCCAGGAGTGCCGAATTGTTCACCTACAGCCAAACTTAAAAACTGTTCGAAACATAGCTAAACTGAACAGTATGTCTCATGTCCTCACCAGATCGAAACATAGCTAAACTGAACAGTATGTCTCATGTCCTCACCAAATATTCCAACCAGGAGATATCACAGTGAAGCTACGAGCATCGAACCCACCACCTCTCAGGTACAACTCGAACGGTCCAAAAGGGGGGACCATGAGATATCGCCGTGTGAAGTAACAAGCCTTGAACCCAGGACGTCTCAGGTGCAACTCGGGCATACAAGCACATGCCTACTCAAACGGACGAAGGGGGATGAGGAGATATTCCGCTCAAGTCGGGCTTTGAACCCACCACTACGCGGGTGCAACTCAGGCATGCACGGAAGAACGTTACCTTCTAAAATTGGTTACCTTCCGAAATTATGGAATGCAAGAGAGTTGAACTCGCGGCTGGTTATCAATGGTTACCTGTCTTCCCCTTCATCCCAACCCGTCGCCGGCCTCCCGCCTTACGACCTGTTTCCGTGGACCCGGCCCCGGTCCGATTTCGATTCGATTTGGTCGATCGGATAGAGATTGCGACGGTGCGCTTATCTGTCGATGCTTTCGTTGTTGTCATCGCGGCCGTCGTCTTTCCCTGATCGAGATTTTGTCTAACGGCAGGGTGACTGGTGAGGTCTGGGGCGATATCCAGCTATGGCTGCCGCTGCAGCAATGAGCATTCCTGCGGCTGCCGCTCTGGCTTCCGCGGCAGCCGGTGTGGTGTCGCACACGAAGCCATCGCGTGCGTCGCTGACCAGAGCTGCCGTTCGTCGCGACAGCTGTGCGGCGGATCCCATCGGCTTCCTGGCGCTCTCAAGAGCCGAGCAGCAGCAGGAGTGCTTCGGCGCCGCACAACGAGCGGCTGTCGCGACACCGCTTGCGGCGCGCCTGCTAGCGCGTCGCGCAGTTGGCGGAGATGATCGAAATCAGCTGACGTCGCTCGACGGCCAGGAGGAGGGAGAAGAGCAGGACCAATGGGAGCAAGAACTGGGGAATGGGAACGGTGGGGACCCCCACCAGACCATCATTACTGTAGAAACCCGCAGGTGAGATTCACGATGACAGGGCTCGGGAGAAGGGAGAAAAAAAGAAAAAAAAAAAGAAAAAAGAAAAAAAAGAACGGTGATGGGGCTTTTGTTTTCTTTGGCTTATTCCTATTCCTACATTTTTTTTTTTTTTTCCTATTCCTACATTCAGTAATAGTTGACGAGTAAGAATGATCAGTTTAAAAAAAAAAAAAGAGAAATAGAAAAATAACAAATTGATTTAAATTAGTTTGTCCTTCTGGACATCCGTCATTAAAAAAAAAAAACACTGGGAATGACACAGAGAAGATTGGCATGGCCCCTGCGCAACGATGACACGCATAAATCGAGAAATGGTCCACAAATTGGTTAAAAAAAAAGGTTCATAATTAGCAGGGTAGCTGTCGGGATAAGTAATTTTGCCATTCTCCGAGCAGCCCAGCAATAACTCGACTCTTAAAAAAAAAAAAAAAAAAAAAAAAAAAAAAAACTGTCCCTCTCCTTTGGGTCTCTCCCCGGGAAAGAACTAAGCTTAAAATGCGAAACCAATCCTTGATTTGTTCATCCAAAAATCAATGTACCAGTGGTAGGGGAAGTCCAACTCGAATCCGACAACATTTCCATTTCTCTCTCTCTCTCTCTCTCTCTCTCTCTCTCTCTCTCTCTCTCTCTCTCTCTCTCTCATTGGTCTGGATTGATCGGTAACATATCATTGATCAAACAGCAATGGGAACAACAAAAAGAAAGAAGAAAAAAGAAAAAGAAAGAAGAAAAAAGAAAAAGAAAGAAGAAAAAAGAAAAAGAAAAATTGGCATTTTCAAGAAGTTTCAAAGCACGAATGGGTCGCAACACTCAGAATTTGCGTGGTAGAGCTATTGCCAAAATCGGCTCAGTGTCCTTCAGGACATCCGTTCAATTTGGAGCGATACAGAGAATGAAGATTAGCATGGCCAAAAAAAAAAAAAAAAAAAAAAGATTAGCATGGCCCCTGCGCAAGGATGACACGCATAAATCGAGAAATGGTCCAAATTACAAAAAAAAATAAAAAATAAAAAAATAAAAAAAAATCGGCTCAGCTGGTACACCCCCATGAACTGTTGAAATACACAGACCCCAGTTCGAATCCCGATGCAACCAGATGACCAGATCAAAATCACTCTGAATTACCTGCTGGGGCTCGTCAGTTCAATTATGATATCCCAAAGCCGTGGCCCTTTAAAAAAAACTGAAAACTAAAAAAACCGAAAACTAAAAAAATCGGCGCAATTAAACCATCATTACCCCAGGGGCCAGGGGGTCTGAGCCCCCCCCTCTGGAGAGGCTCTGACGCAAATGCATATGGMCCCCCGCGGCGCACCGACTCAGCCACCGCCGTTAAGCCACCGCGTTAACGGCCTAAGAACGAGGAGGTTTAACACTGTTAACAGCCGTTTGCTCTAACCCGGCCGCCAATGAGAGGGGGAAGCGGAGGGGAGGGGAGGGGAGGGGAGGGGAGGGGAGCACAGGCTTTGCAATAGACCGTACAGTCAGACTCTCGCCGACGTACTTGTGTCAGCAGGCTAGAGGTTTTTTGACAAGCACTCAAGGTTGGATTTGTTTGTATGAATCTGACCGTAATTTTGCTCACGGGTACATTCATCCCCAGAAAGTCCTAATGTAAGTTCGCCTTCAGCCCACAGGGTAAAAATCCCCTGATGTAACAACAGGTAATAAAAAAAAAGAAAAAAAAAAAAAGGCCTACGGTAGCTCAGTTGGGACCGCACCCATGAACTGTTGAAATATGAATCAGACCCAAGTTCGAATCCAGGTGCAATCAGATTGACAGAATAAAATAGTTCTGAATTACCTGGGGCGGTCAGCTCAATGATGATACCTCAAAAAACAAAAAAAAAAAGAATAAAAATTCCCTTGCTGTCCTTCGGGGCATCCCTAAAAAAAAAAAAAAATGCAAACGATAGAGAGAATGAAAATTGTCATTAAAAAAATAATAATAAAAAATTAGCATGGCCCCTGCGCAATCAAGAACGACACGCTTAAATGGAGAAGTGGTCCAAAATTTTAAACCACTGGTACTTTCTAGAGTGGTGCCCATTAACGCGCCACGATTTCAGGAAATGTACGGGCCACTACAGGAGCGCCCAAATTCATCCGCGACTAGAAACGTTTCTAGTCTATTTTTTTGGGCCGATGATAGCTGGGCCAAGTACCGGTGGTTTAAGGTGCAGGCCCTCGTGACCTGCCCGATCCAACCAAAAAAGACATTGTCATTCAAAAAAAAAAAAAAAAAAAAAAAAAGGGGTGGGGTGTAGCTAGAGCGCAGTCGCATTTTTAGTTTGAAATGTAGTTCAGGCATCCCTCCAATACAACACATCCCCACCCAACCCTAAAGCTGGGCTGTATACATTCACGATTTTCCTCTCTACGTTTGGCACAACATTCGCGAAGCGAAATCGTGACTGAAACGCATTTAAAACTGAAAACCAGGACTGCGCCCTAGGTAGTTTTCTCAAAAAAAATAAAAAAAAGGACATCGTCAGCTGGTGGGGAGTTTGGCTGGGGCGGCACATCTGTGTTAGAAGATAACGCAGGTGTCCAAAGATGAGCTCGACGAGAAAAGTGAATGGGGAAGGGCTTTCGCCCTACCTGGTGCAGCCTTTTCGATTTTATGGTTTCCTCTGTCAATCTGCTTGCTAGGCAAGGAGGATTACTCTGACATTAAAAAGGCTGCTGCCAGGTATCTTTGGAAACCAGCAGCCGACGAAGACCAGGGTTTCATAACAAAAGTTGCATGGGAAGCAGTGGCCCAGCCCCGCCAAGAAGGGGGACTGGGAATCATAGACCCCCAGACACAAAATTGGGCGCTCCTAGCCAAATGGATCATTAAAGGAATGTTTGATGACTCATCGAAATTGTGGATCCGCTTTGCTGAGTACATATTGAGCACAGAATGGTCCTTGGAGGAGCCAAACCACATTTGGATTTGTAGTCTAGTGCCTTCCTTTTGCAACCGGAAGATTAAGTCTAGAGTGTGGCAGGGAATTTTCTTGGCCTGGAACAAACTGAGACCCTCATCAATTAAGGATCCCATCACCAAAATGGAGATAGCTAACCAGTGCCTTTTTGATAACCCGCTGATATGTCTCCCCTCAAAAGAGAGCTTTTCGGCAGGAGGGGGTACTGGAAAATTTGGGAGAGCTTGGATGGAGAGAGGTATTGTCCAGGTCAAGCATCTATGGGATGATGAGACAAACGATTGGATCACGGCTGAATAGTTACGTCCCCGATTATCTCACCTGCGGAATGTGACGGCCAATCTGTCTCTGCTGATAGCAGCTCTCCCGTCCCACTGGTCTATAACTTTGAGAAATACATCAGAATATCTGATGATGATGCATCCTGTGTCTGGAAGGTCTTAGGCCCGGATTTGGAGTCTGGGACCAGACTGGAAGAATGGAAAATCGGGATCCCCAGATCCCAGGATGGCCCGCTTGTTAAGGGTCAGGAGAAAACTGTTATGGAAACGTTCGGACTGGATGAAGTCAGAGTACAGGTGGGAAACAAGACGGCATCCTGTCTAGGCAACGCTGAGCAGTTCCGAATAGAGCCCCTGATGCTGGGGTGGAAGGAGGAAGCAACTGGCTCTGGACACCCGAAAGTGACAGCGTTAATGAACTGTAAGGCAAAAACAGGTGCTGGTGTTCTACGAGCCCAAGTTATTCGTACACCTTCAGGATTGGCGTCTTCCCGTTTTGCGAAGCAGAAGGGACAGGATGTCTCTCAGCCGAATTGGCCCTCCTTGTGGTGGGCGCTTCTACGTATTCCATCTCAAAGGTCAACGGGTCTGCTGTGGATGCAAGCTCTACAAGTTGTCCCAACCTCTCACTGGTTGGCCACCAGGGGTATGGAAACCTCCATGATATGCCTGCGCTGCAATTGGGGCTGGGAATCTAACGCCGATCTGTGGACCCATTGCCCCCTCTCTGAAGAACTTTGGGATTGGTGAAGGAAACACTGGAAATTATTTACAAAAAATAACTTTGATTGGAATGAGGATTGGATATTGTTTGGGCTTCTCCCTAGCTTGACTATAACATACGCTGAGGGCTGGGGGTACGTCGCCTTAGTCTGCAGAGGGGTCGTGATGCAGGAAATATGGAGATCGAGAAATGCCCTGATCTTCAGAGGGGAAAAGCCTAATTTCCAGTTATCTTGCAACCAAATATGCAAAAACCTACGTTTGATGATCTTGGCTGACTGGAAAGGGAGTTCCGGTCGACAAGGCAGAGGGCGCCCTTGGTTCTTAAAAACCTGGGCCCGGGACAACCAGTTGGCAGTGGTCTCCACTGAAGGTAAGATGAGGATTGCCAAGTGGCTGAAGCCCCCCTGAACATTTCATGAGCTTCATAGATAAAGGTGGCAGAGATGCCTTCAGGACAGAGTACAGTTAGACTGCAAATGCAGTCCCTTTTTATAATGAGCTTCATGTGTTACCTTTTTTGGAAAGATTTTTTGGTTTTCAGCATGGGACGCTGGACCCGGTTTCCAGCAGTAGAATTGTTAAAGATAGACCAGCAGTTGTAATTTCGAGCCTGGCTCGTAAGCGAAACTGGCTGAGGCTGCCAGGATAACTCCGGGTCGAATTGTGAGGTCCCCGGCCTCGTCCCAATGTTGTATTATTGTAATGCAAAGCTAAACTTTCCAAAAAAAAAAGAAAAAAAAAGAAAAGTGAATGGAAAAATTTTAAAGTAAAAAAAAAAAAACAAAAAAAAAAACAATGGGCCTAGCTCAGTTGGGACCACACTCAATGAACTGATGAAATCCAGACCGAAGTTCGAATCCAGCTGCGATCAGATGAACAGAATCAAATATATATAATTTTTTTCTTTTTTGGGGGGGAAAATAAGGTAATTCTGAATTACCTGGGGCCGGTCAATTCAATTGGAATGATCCAAGTTCTCACCAAGCTCAACCTCGCAACCATGCCATGAACATTCACATGAACATTCACATGAACATTCATATGAACATTCACATGAACATTCACATGAACATTCACATGCACAGTCACAGAAAGGTCTGGCCAGAGTGGTTGGAGACACTGGAAGAGACTCGCCAGAGTCATAACTGTATGATATCGGGCGACTTCCTGATTGGAGTCATCCATCATGCATGAGGTTATTCAGGACATTCACATGAACATTCACATGACACATGAGAGTTCACGCGTGAGAAACCAGAGCCGCTGGAGACAAACAATTCAGTGACGGCTTCCATGTGTTCTGATTGTATCTCGGCGGTGGTTTCTCACGTGTGAACTCTCACGTGAATCGTCATATGAATGTTCACATGAATGTTCATGTGAATGTTCATGGCATGGTTGCGATGTTGAGCTTGGTGAGAACTTAGATCATTTCACAATGATGATACCTGAAGGCTGTCGCTCTTTAAAAAAAAAGAAAAAATAAAATAAAAAAAGAAGAAAAAAAGCTCATTTGATTTTGATTTTCAGTACGAATAACAAGGGAAAAAAAAAAACCCTCTGCTGTCGTCCGGGACATCCAGTAAAATTGGAACGATACAGAGAATGAAGATTAGCATGGCCCCTGCGCAAGGATGACGCGCGCATAAATCAACAAATGGTCCAAGTTAAAAAAAATAAAATAAAATTCCCCTGCTGATTGATGCTATTTTTATCCTATGATGTACCTGCCACATGAGTCTGCTTTCAATAAAAAAAATCCCCTGCTGATTGATGCTATTTTTATCCCATAATAATGTACCTACCACATGAGTCTGCTTTCCTTGTTGTCTTCTTTCCCTTTTTTTTTGTTTTTTTGTCAACTTCCCTTTAATTTAACCCATTTGCCATAATGACCCCAGTACCTACTTTGGTAGGTGGTTTAAGTAAGGGATAAGACAAAAAAAAAAAAAATAAAAAAAAAAAAATTGGTAGGTGGGTAACGTGTTGTTGTCATCAATAATTCCCGTGAGGGGGACAACAACAACAACAACAACAACAACAACAAAAGACTCCCACCTTACTGACGTCAGGGGCGGGGTCCCACCAGCAAAGTGGATTGAATTAAGCTCCTGAATATGGACGTGTTTGAAGCAGAGATGCAGAAAAGCAGTTCAATCTCGATTTTCTGCACCTGTCCACAAACACGTTCAGATCCAGGCTTTCAATCCAATCCCCTTTGCTAGTGGGACCTCCCCCCGGAAGGAAACCTGAACTGTCCCCCCAATCCCGACCCTCTGAAAAAAGAAAAAGAAAAAGAAAAAGAAAAAGAAAAAGAAAAAAAAAAACACTTGCAGGCAGTGGTTGGCTTAACGCAATCAAAGCAGAGAGGGTATACTGGGTTTATCCCACACTCGTGTTTTTTTTTTTGTGAATTCCACCCTCATCACGTGGTCATGAGAGTCAGCGAATGAAACAACGAAGTGTCGATTGCAGTCGAGATTCTGTAATTTCTTTTGGCTTTATTTGTGCAAAGGAATAGTATTTTATGTCCGAATGTAGCCGGACGGGCTCAACGTCCCCGTACAGATTATTACACATTTGGCGATCTAGAGGGGCAAATGAATTCCGACAGAAGGATGACATTGTGTGCAAACAAAAACCGAACTGTACAGATGCATGTGGTCAAAACCTCCATCAATCGTCAGCTCGGTGCGGACCCTCCCTGCAGCTCATCATACGCTGACAGCATACTCACGCTAGGACCTTTTCTACTCAGCTATGGACGTGATTGGGGTCAGATACGCCTGCGGCTGGCCGTAATTCCTAGTGTGAGTATGCTCGCAGTTCACCGTGGCGAAGGCGGTAATGACGCAACTAGATTGCCACGTAAAACACTTGTCTGCATGGCAGCCATGCATGCATGCATCCATACGTGTGTGTGTGTGTGTGTGTGTGTGTGTGTGTGTGTGTGTGTGTGTGTGTGTGTGTGTGTTATAAAATATCACCACAACTTCTCCTATACCACCCAGATGAGTAGATCCAAAGTCATAGCAACTTTACCTGTATTGCAGACAATGACGCATGCTCAAGATGAGCCAGTGTGTGTGTGTGTGTGTGTGTGTGTGTGTGTGTGTGTGTGTGCGTGCAATAACCGAATAGCATCACCCACATATTTTTCACTCAGCAACAAACACCACAACAGATTCTAGAGCACGTGTGTGTGCTTCCAACAGGGTCTGCGCTTGTGCAGGCAACTGTCAATGCAGGAATGTGGGGAACTGGTATCTGCAAGTTGCACAACTTTGGTCTCGATGTCCTGTAGCTGTGGAGCCTGATCATCTCTCTCTCTCTCTCTCTCTCTCTCTCTCTCTCTCTCTCTCTCTCTCTCTCTCTCTCTCTC